CTAGCCCAAGACGAGGACACTGTGGTTCCAATTTCCTATCGCTAAAGAGTCATTACAGGACTGTCGGCTCTGTTGGTGGGAGACCAAGCCATCAGACAGGCCTTCAGGGTAACGCTACTGTACAAAAAGCAAAATGAGAACTGAGATATTTAGCTTGTGAAGAGCCAATAAACATAAGAAGCACTAGGGGAGAGCAGCAGAACAAGAAGCAGAATCCTCTTTTGTCCTTTACATTTAGGAAGTGAAACTTAAAGCGGTTCATGATTATGGCGGGTAATGACGTACAGTATAATTTGGGGACTTTCTGGTTTACTCCAAAAAGAAAAACGTGTCCACACAATGTGACTCTGTTATACACAGTCCATGGATTGTGTAAACAGGTGTATGTCCGCATAACATCAGTAATACAAGTACGCAAACGCAAGGGAGTGACGCAACTTACTTCAGCCAAACGGTCAAAAAAATGTAAATACCCACAACCAGGAAGTCACAATTTAAGGAAAAATACCCCTAAAATGTCACTAATATTATATTATTAAACCATGGACACAACGCAGAAGTCAAACGAAGAATGTGCGATATGAAATAAGCACAAATTAATAACTATTTAACAAACTAATTGACATATTTTACTTTGTCTTTCAGCAAAGGAGCCTGTTCGAGTTAACGTTAGCTAAATAAAATGTAACGTAACAGCTACTTTCTGTATTAGCTTACTAACTTCATCGCAGCATCGACATACAGTAACGTTTACGCTCTGTTTAGAAACATTACTCGTTATCGGAATGACAGGTTAACTACTTAATCCAGACAGGACCGCTGAATAATTCTCCCTTACCTTTATTTTTGCAGTACCATCACTGACGGATTTCCTCAAATTAGATAAATACTGGGATGATGTCGAGCTGGCAAGAATTAGTTCCCGCAATATATTTCAAAATAAAAGAGCCACCGAATTGCTGCGCTCCATAATACTAAATAACGGCATTTCTATTGCCTATAGTTTCGTGGTCTATATAAAAAACAATTATATTGGTAATTTATGGTTAATATACAACCAGAAATATATATACACATTATTTTATTTATGAGTTTTAAAAACAAGCTGATTAATTTTGATGTTAAAACCGCGTACCTCTACTCTTGTTGCTGCCAACTTGACAGAACCTTCGACTAAGGTTTTAACTTGAAGTGGCACTTCAAGCAACTAATCAGCGTTCAGATTAGGGAGGAGAGGGCGGGGCAAGTATGATAGATATAGAGATAGAGACTTTATCGCAAACTCAAGGTCCAAATTCTGACTAATAAAAAACATCAAACAACATGGATCGTTATGGTTAATAGTCTGCTGGTATGCATAAATGTTTTATATATGGCTTTATGATGTGAGTGGATGTAAAATGTTAATAACTTTTAACTTTCATTTTAATAACTTATGGTCTTTACATTTTAAATAATGTACATTTTTTGTTTGAATTGCAAAGAGAATTGTCTTATTAGTAGAGTAACTTAAAAATACTTCTGTGAGATAATAAATGAGTCAAGATTAGAAGTGCATGACCAGTGGAGCACAATGCCTACCAATCTGAAGTCTCATAATGCATGCAAGCAAAAAGGTATTATTTTTCTCAACAAGGTTATCATTGCAAAATATTCCTATGTGCTTGTAGGCACTGAACAGTTACTTGTTTGGAGTTACCTTCTCACCCAGCAATAGTAGTAATATGCAGTCCTTCTGTATTTCAATAGTTTTCTTCCTTTAGGATCACCTCTGTCCTTTCTTGGCATTGCCTTTCTGCCTTCCCTGTCCAAAGTCCTGTGGTGCTTTTTGATAAGGTTATCACTGTTGGTATCACAGTCACTCTACGGTACTCACCACTGTCTCTTCAGTTTGATCTCTTCGCCTGGGATGGATACCTCTGAGAATGTGTATGAGACCCCAGAGAGCACCTACCAGAACCAGCCATCAGGTTTATATGATGTGCGATTTGAAGCGTTATATGAAGAGCCCTCAGCCCTGTCAGGAGTGTATGAGAACACTGGACAGGCCATAAGAGAAATACCGGCTCCCCCTTCTGTTCCTGCACCTCACCTTCCCACCCATGCGAGGCAAAGCAGTTCATCTTCTTCTTCATCATCCTCATCTTCTTCGCATGCTGAGGATGAAGAGAGAAGGGAGATGGATGTTGGGATTAGGAAGGAGGAGAAAGAGGAAGAGAAGAAAGAGGTAGAGCAGAGCAGCACACTGCCTACCCCTACCTCTGGGTCTCCAGAAGTAGAGGTAGAGCAGAGCAGCACACTGCCTACCCCTACCTCTGGGTCTCCAGAAGTAGAGGTAAGCAGGTCATCACGCAGATCTTCATCATCATCATCTTCATCCACCTCTGAAAAGGAGGAACTTGAGGAGGTGTCAGAGTCTGAAAAGGATCAACTCAAGATCACGCTTTTTGTTAAGGTATGGAAGAAATGCCTTGGATTTATTATACTCTGTGATTCAGGGAATTTATTCCAGTTCATTCTCTGTGATATTCTGTATGTATGCACACAGATAGCTTGCAAATTAAACTTTTATTGAGATAACTTGTAGCCCTCATAAAGCTCAGTCATAATCATAATCATAATCATAACAGCTGATTGTGAACAAGTGTACAAAGTGTGCAAGGTCAGAAAATGCTGTATCTCCTAATGTGTGTGAGTGTGTAGTGTATATGTAAAATTTTACTGTGGTGCATCCAGGCCCAGACTTTATACTTTATTGTTTGGACAATTTAGAAACCTCACTGTGCTGTTCACACACGTCTGTTTATAGAACATCATGTTTTCTGTGTAAGTGTGAGTACGTGGGTTGTAGAGGGTTGCTCTTGTTCTAAATATAAGCCAAGCTGAACTGACAAGAATGTTTTGAGTCAGTGCTGGGATGGTTGGGGATGGGTTCTGTTGCCTGGCCATGTGTGTGCACGTGTGTGCATGTGTGTGTGTGGTTGAAAATCTATGTATCTATTTACCTATCAATAATAACAGCTAAATATTGTACATTGGCATACACAAACACACACATTAACTGAATTTATTACATATTACACTCTCCATATTAAAGTCCAATTGTACTGGAGTATACAGGGGTCATAAATGTGACACTTTGAAACTGCAGCCACATGCAATAAATGATAGCAATTTACTGTAACCTCACTGTAATAGAACACAAGTGAGATCTACTGTTGGCAGTAATGCACAGTTTTCAAATTTGCAGTGTGTGGTGCTATAGTTAAAGACCTATAGTGAAAATACTTTTGTTCATTTAGTGTAAAAAACGATTTAGTGATGTTAAATGACACTGTGTTAGATGTTTAACACTAATGGTGAAAAATCATGTCTCCATGTATAGTAAAAAACACACTTTGTAGTGTTGTAAAATGACACTGAGTGTTGAGAAACTGACACTTTAAAAGTGTTAAAACCTTAACACCGTGGACAGTGACAGTATATAAACACTGGGCCAGTGTTACTTTTAACTCTATAAGAGTTGATTTAACACCATGTGTTTTGCTGTGTAGCATTACACAAATATTTCCAGTACTGGATTAATACACGTCTGGTACACTATAGTATTTATGGCACCATTACACTGTACAGGGGATCCAACCAAAATAAACTTCAATACCTATGTTCCTGAAAATTAAATTATATGTCACCCAGTGCAACAGTGTGGAACAGTATGGCTCAGTCATGTGTTTTCAGTAGTTTCTGGACAGAGGCATGGACACACATACATTACTTGATTGTGGGAATTCACTGATGTTTGCAACAGATTTGTTGACAATATCAGGCCACTGAAGCAGCTCAGATGCAGGCTGAGAATTCAGAGCATGAGTGCTGACGAGTCTGATGAGAAGGCAGTGACTCCTGATGATTCAATGTCACCCACTTCTGTTGTCAGTCAGCACTGTTAAGAGGTGGGAGGGGCACGACACCCTGGGGTGACTTGGTCATCCCTTTCCCTCCTCATTTCCACTAACATTACCTCACCCATGGGGGGGTATTTTTGCTGTCATGTTGTGCCCCATGGCTGAGACCACATGTATAAACTGAACCCCTCACACACACTCTTCCTCTTTTCCTCTGTCTCACACACACACTCACTGGTATTCATCCTCAGCTGACACTCGGACAGAGCTGCTGTAGGACCAAGGGGACTTTAGCGAATGGACCTGGAATAGCATCTGCTGTAAACTGAGACAGCTCTTTCTCTCTCACACACACACAGACAGACACAGACAAATATACACACTTGTTGAAACAAACCACACAAACAGAGTGTGTTTTTTGTCACCATGACGGACTCTGCAGCTGAGGAAGACAAGGACCCTGATATTGAGCTATTTGTCAAGGTGGGGCTTTTAGTGTTTTAGTGTGTGTTCAGTTTGTGTATGTCATTAGCTGACACTAGATCAGTTTTCCTTCCACTTCTTAATTACACTTCTGTTTAATTTTGTACTATCTTACCCTGCATTCTGCCTGTAATAGTTGTTATTTTTGTGTATAGCAAGTAAAATAGAAGCTGCATATGCTACTGGTATTTTACATAATCTGTAAAATACCAGTGGTGTGTGCATTATGTTGGAGGCCCCTTTAAACGTGTGCATGCCATGTTATTGTTGTTGCTTGCTGATTTTCCATGTGTTAACCTGACACCCATTTGCATAGACAATCTCTTTCTTTCTCTCTCTCTCCCTCTAAATTATTACTGGGTTCATTTCAGTATCGAGAGCAGCATGGTCTGAGGTTATGATACCATATATGTGCAGGTATGACTGGATGTGTTAACTGTCTGTACTGTACCGTATATGCTCACCAAAACAGTGCTAGCTTGAAAGAATAATTAATATTGCTGTAAGTCTGTTGGGTCTGTGCAATCATGTGCATGTTTGACCTTACACCTTAAGACCAGTTTCAAACATATATATAATGAGAACATCTGCTAAATTTATTAAACAAGTCTTGCAAAATATTTCAAGGAATAGCTGATCATGTTAAATATGCTTTTTTTTCAAACAGGGTCAAACCATGCTCATGTCAATACACTGAATACAGTTTCTAGCTGGTTATCTTAGTTTAGCTTAGCTTACCAAAGTTCAAGTTCAAAGTGTTTATTTGTCATATGCACAGTTAGGAAACGTGTTTCCCTGTACAATGAGATTCTTACTTTGCCGTCCACATGAATATGCCACAAAAATACAAATGAAATATAAAGTAGATAAATAAGTAACACAAAGACTAGAAACAGAAGGACTGGAAAGGTAGAAATGCTTAATTCAAATTTTTAAGACACAACAGTATGGTTTACACTGTGATTAGCTCTTGTGAAAAGAATATGTGATTTCCATTAAATTGGCTATGGTCATTTAAATTCTTAAAATCTGAGCCTTTTGTAACAAACACAAATCAGACACATGCGGTGAGATCAAGGCACTCGTTTGATCTGGAATTTCAAATACATGGCAGTGTCTTAAAACATGAAATGTACATCAGACGTTTCCAGTTGAGTGAAAGTGTGTTTTTCTTTGCACTGATAGATGTGCTGTATGTTATGGTATGACAGCAGGTTATATGACTTCTATAGTGGATACACACTGCTACAGTATGCAGGACCCAGAAGTTCAAACAGGCAGTGAAGCAGCTAATGGAAGCAGCGTGGATTATTCATGTTGGATTCGGTGTTGCATTACAGTGTCCTGTTGCAGCTCTGTGCGCGTGCGCATGTGCACACACACTCACACATCCTACAGTTTTTGATTATCTGCCACTTATAAAATTGTGTATGTAGACTCACAGACATGATCATATCACCAGATGCCTCAAACTCACTTCATCAAAGTAAAAGACTGATTCTTCTTAACTGACTAAGAACTTGTTGACAAGAGTGTGTGTCTTTAGCATCTACTTGTGAATCAGTTTCTGTGTATGCAGTAGGTTTGTAGGGGTGTGTCTGTGCGTTTGTGAATGAAAGTGCATGTGTACCAGAGGAGGAATAACTCAACATACTAAGGCAAGCAGAATGGAAACAGGCACAGCTATGTTTGATAGCAGTATCAGTACCTCATAATGTTTTTGTGTGTGTTTACAGGCTGGGAGTGATGGAGAGAGCATTGGAAACTGTCCGTTTTCCCAGCGCCTCTTCATGATCCTCTGGCTGAAAGGGGTAGTCTTTAACGTCACCACTGTTGACCTCAAGAGGTAATAATGATGTTGTAATATAACAGTTAAGCATTATGATAAAATAGAAGATGGGGAATATACGTGTGTCGTCTCTAGTTGAATACAGTCCAAATAGGATGGTGGTAAATCTTTAAACAGATGTTTATTAAAGCTGCTCCTCCTAACAATAACATAAATATTGCCTCATCTATGGAAAAGGGGTTGTCTGTGCTAAAGAATTATTATCTGACTGTAGTTCCCTTAGCTCTGTGAAGCATTTTAGCATCTTTCAGCTCACTGTTTTAATTTTTGGCTTGGTTTTCAACAGCTTTGCTGTTTTGGTTCACTCTCACCACTCTTCAGTATTATTTCCAGCTGTAGCAAGCAACTGTTTAAAAGAAAAACCCTCAGATCAACCCACTGTACACTACCTGATCAGAACCAAATGTCAGAAAACGTTAGTGACTATCGAGTTAACATAGTGGAGCATTTAGTAACCAAAGAGCTGGATATTTTCCTCAGAAGTTGATGGACTTCAGAAAAGCTGGCAGTGACCAAATATTGTCAGCGATATTAAAATGGTCATTCATCATAACACAGATTTCTGAAAGAAGTTGTAAAATGTTTCCACTCTTATTAGGAAACCAGCTGACCTTCACAACCTGGCTCCAGGGACACATCCACCCTTCCTCACCTTCCAGGGGGAGGTTCTCACTGACGTCAACAAAATTGAGGAGTATCTGGAAGAGATGTTGGCTCCACCTAAGTAAGTCTTTCACACAGAAAATAGGAGAATATGAAAACAGCATCTTGGTATCATGTTAAACTCTTGTTCTTCAGGTATCCCAAACTTGCAGCAAAGAACCGTGCATCCAACACAGCAGGAAATGACATATTTGCCAAGTTCTCAGCTTATGTCAAAAACACAAGACCAGACAAAAATCGAGGTAAGTACACTGTACACAAAAGCATGAATGCATCCAGTAAGCATACTGGATGTGTAATGTAGGGTAATTCAGGTAATGTTGACTTTGATGACTTTATGACTTTGAAGAATTAGTTCCCTGTGTGTGTTTCAGAGTTAGAGAAGAGTCTAAATAAGGCCCTTGCTAAGCTGGAAGAGTATCTGATGTGTCCACTACCTGATGAGGTTCAGTCAGGACGCCACAGCGGAAATGGAGAATCTACCCGCAAATACCTGGACGGTGATGAACTGACACTGGCTGACTGCAACCTCCTGCCCAAACTTCATGTTGTTAAGGTAACATGCTTTGCAGTGGGGTAGTTGTGTTTGGTTCATTTAACCTTATGGAACTGATCCTGACAGTAGTATTACAGTAATTTCTTTTTGGCAGGTGGTTGCAAAGAAATACAGAAACTATGACATCCCATCTGACTTCAGAGGGGTGTGGCGTTACCTCAGCAACGCCTACAGCCGAGATGAATTCATCAACACCTGTGCAGCTGATGTGGAAATCGAGCTTGCTTATAGGGACGTAGCCAAGAGGCTGGGAAAGTGAACACATCACAACCACTGTCGCTACAGTACCTTTCTTTCTTTCTGGAAACCCCTACTTCTGACACACAGTGTACAGACTGTGTAACTAGGCACAGGTACAGTGGGCCTGTCAAGCTTTGGGTTTCTTCACATGTTTAACTGCTGTGCTTGGAGCTGGAGCAAAAAACAAAACATTAGCAAAAATCAGGCAATAAAAAAGTGATTAAACAGTGTGTTTGCAAATGCTAGCATGTGGCTAGGAAGCACATTATTACTGACTATATAATTTTCTGTTGAGTTGTATTTGAATATTGAGTTGTGTTTGAAAAAGTCCATACATGACCGACACATGTGCTGTTCAGTACTTTCATTAGTGGATGCTATCAGCATTTAGGCTAACGTTAATGGCATGAACATTAACAAACAAGTATGTAAGATATGCAGCCAAATAGAAGTCATGTTCAAGAAAAATTAACATGATTTGACATGTACATTTTTTTTTACACATTTTTATACTAACTCTACACTGCAGTACAACAACAATGCTGTTTCTTTGACCTGCAGTTGTTGACTTGTTGCCTGGGATGTGAAGCTTTAACTTTGACCTTTCACAATAATATCATGTTCGTAGGCATCAAATGTATATTCAAGGACCCTTTACAATATTCTTTTCATTTAAAAATAGTCAGCTGATAGCAATTAATGGCACTTATGTTAGCTGAATAAGATACTGTAACTATCTAGATACTTTCATCTGGCATGTCACTTGGTTAGACTAGAAGTACCAGCTAGAAATGAGAAGGCTGTTGTTGTGTGAGAGCTGAACAGGCTTAATAACACTAGGTGGTGGGACTTCTACTGGTGACAGTACATCTGATTCAGCCACTGATCTGATGGACACCTTTTTCTCCACAGCTTTACTGAATTATTATCCTTTTTGGTTCACAAATAATCACCTAAATATTCTCTAATAATTTAATGTAATCTTTTTACTCTATACATTTAATAGTAATAATACTTTATTTTTACCTGTCCACTTTCCCCTATGGATCACATTGTTATTACTTCATACTGAAGGGTAGAATTGATAGACAAAAAAAAAAGGTTTGTTGGAAACTCCAGTTAAGAATGTGTTTCAGCCAATGTAATTTGTATAGAGATGTGGTGTCTGTTTCCCTTTCTTAATGAAGCAATGGACATTTTGTTTGACCAACTGAATTTAGGATGTCTGAATGAAAACAGACTTCCATTAGAAGTTACTAATCTTTTAAAATGCAGTTTCCTAATTTTTATGGTCTAATATCACAGTTTACAGCCCTTTCTTGATTTTCCAATACTGTCAGCTCTTGTACATACATTCAATCTGACTAACAAGCCTGCAATTTAAAAAAAAGCATAGTCATGGAGTGACAGAAAGAACAAAGTACCCAAACAATTAAGTCTACCCCAGCTGTTGTGTTGTGCTCTCCTGATAGTTATAGTAGTGCAAACTGATGGTAGTGGATGTAATTTTAATCCTGAGTGCCTTAGTGAGAATCAAGCTCTCCTCTGCCCTCAGCTTTACATCTGTACAGTAGATTATATATTTTTTTTAAATATGAACCTGAATGATTGACGTCATAAGTTGCTCCATGGAGCCTTGTGATAATAATATAACCTTCATATGTCTGTAAATGATTAGATTTTATTTCTGTCTGATGATTAGAACCATGAACCCACTGTGTATATGTCACTTATTTGAATGATAAATCTATTTTCTCAGAATCTGAGCCTGAGTTAAGTGGTGTACCAGTACAAAGGAATGAGTACTGACTGGATTTGCAAAATCAAGTGCTTGTCTGTGCAAATTCTCAATCATCCAGGTCATGGTATGCTGAAAAAACTTAGAACAAGGCATCTGGACATAGTTTTAGGTAGAAGACCTAAACAGTGCGATAAATACCTTCTGCTCACCACCAGTCAGGCAGAACTGATGAAGTCTCATGGATGAGATGGTGAAATGTCTTCTACCTAAAATTACGTCCAGATGCCTTCTTCAGCAAAATCAAGTGCTGTTACAAAGTATTCTTTGAAAAACAGCAAGAAGCATTTCTTGCTTATTTGTTTATGGAAATACATGCAAAGTCATTCTATGTGTCTCATGTTGTCTGGTACAACTGTTTCAAACTGACTCTTGGAAACATATTCATACCGATATAGTGAGCAATATAAAACATATATCCTACATTTACAACAAAATAATTTCTTTAGTTGTAAATGTATTACTTATTTTGTTATATTACACAACTTTATGCTGGTTTACTGTTTACTTGCATGGGGATATGTACATACACACTGAGAGCCGACGTACCAGCGTCAAATTCCTCGTGTGTCCGACACACCTGGCCGATAAAGCAGATTCTGAGTCTGAAAAGTATTTACACCCCACTGCTGTTTTTATTGTGTGAACACTAAACAGTGCCAGCAGGTGGCAGCAAAGACAAATGATAGGAACACATGGGGTAGTTAGGGATCGTCTTGGTTTATGTCCCCACCCCCTGATTGTTTAACGACCTTAACGTGGTAAATGTCACGGAATATCAAGTCACTATGACCCAAATTCCAACTAAGCACATACAGTTTACTTCTTATGTAGAGCATTTTGAATTGTTGTTGATAGGTATCTGTTAGTAATCAAAGATTAACTTCAGGTTATTTAGTGAATAAAATAATGTGTTTAAAAAGGATGAATAGCAAATTGCATTATAAATAATACAAACACTGTTACAGCTATATAGTCTCCAATAGTTTGAAGCAATAAAAAATGTATTGTAAATTGTGACTATAATGTAGTTATTAGGTCTTGAGACCAGTTGGTCTTAAAGAGCGACTGGCTCTCAAAAAAGTAGTTTTGTTTTTCTTTTTAAACTGTTTATTAGTGTGTATTATTTTATATAGGACGCTGACATTTAATTGTAATAGCCTATTGTAATTATACTCTTAGTTAATAATCCCAGGATGTCTTGTTTGCTATATGCAATTTATGAGATGAATTACTGTCTGTAATATATAAATATGGCAAATTTTTATGCTTTTGGAACTTATTTTAATGATATATTAATATATTGACTTATGATACTGACCTTTTTGAAAGGATATATGTGTATTTTAACTTTGCTTCATACAGGCCTATGTCACACTCAATATTAGTGGAGGAACAAGTATTCAGATCCTTAAATAAAGGTATGAACACCACACAGTTTGTCACTATTATTAGTAAAATTTAGGCTACTTAAAGTATTAAAAGTAAAGTCAACTAATAGTTATACTATTACATTAGCTTATTAACGTGGATGCATTAATGTAATGTTAACAGCATTTTACTGTATATTTGGAGCTATTTTAACTATTGTATTTAGGCTACATATGAGCGGGTCAGTAATTTTTTAAAGCTTACTACTTTACTACATGTTTAGATCTGTAAAATCTTAATTTAATAAGTAACGTTGTCAAACAAATATGTAGGTCTATTGTATTTGTGCAGTACGTACTTAGCTGCCTCCTACACTGCCCAGTGTTAAACATTTTGTGCGTGCTGTAACACGCAGACGGTCCCTACAGTGGGCAGAGTATATTTTGTAGAGGACGCATCAAATCATTTCAGTCTGTCCTTCACAAAACTGTCTCCGTTCGTTTTTTCGCTGGATTTCGAGTCTGTGTCCTTATAACATTACCGTGGGCTGCCGACAGACACCACAGAAAGGTAAGCCGCGGTTCTCTCATTATAACCAACCCGGAGCTCATTTTCTGCCCCATTGTTGAGGAAATAACGTCAGCTCTGGAAGAAGAGGCGCAGTGTTTAGCTGTGTGTGCTCGGGAGTGGGTGACTTGTCATTGCGGCGTGTTTTGTTGTGAAATGCGTGTGGTGGTCCACCGAGGCAGCTAACCTTCTCAACCCCACCACAAAACAAAACTAATGTAGCCAGAAGCTGCGATAGCTTGTCTATGAAACAGCTAGCACGTAGAACAGAGTAACGCTAGCTAACATCTACGCTAGCTGAAATTAAGGAATCGGGACGTTAATCGCCGCAGCGAGCAGAGGGTACAATTATCATTATTATTATTATTATATGGCAGATTTAGCTAGCTTATAAAACAGATAGGAGCTGTGTGATAGTGTGGACATTTCCTGTAGGTTGTTTCTAGCCGAAGAACATCTTTATAGTGGAGACAGGTCTCGGAATAGGTTGCTCAAGAATAACGGCCAACTCTGTCATTGCCACTGTCTGTTGGTTAAACTGCCTATTTAATGATTTAGCTAGGGATATTTACAGCCGCAGTTGTCAGTTTGCCAGTGACTGACGACCTTCTTCTTCCCGGACAGTGTTGTACTTTCTTGGATCTTATAAACACGGCGTGGTAAAACAGTAACCAGGGGTTTAACCTGGGTGTACACAAGCCAGGGAGAGTTTGTTCTCAGCTTCTGGGGAACAATGATGTTTTGTTTTGGTGACATGTCAATAAAACAGGCTGTGGGAGTTATGTATAGTCATGTCCTCTACAGCCACAATGTCTTTAAATGGGCTTAACTGGAAAAAAGGGACAGGGGCTGTATTTCTGGCTAGTCTGACTGTTTATAATTTTGATAGGGAACTCTCTTTATGTTTTTAAGGATTGCTTGTGATTTGATATGTCATTCAAATATATCGTTTCTAATTCAATGTGACCCAGCAAAAATGTCCCTTCTCCTAGACTGCAGGCTGTGAGCTAAAGCTGACCATCCATAGGTGAGCCACCAACTGCCCTTGGGTTTATAAAGAGCTCTTTCAGCTGCCTTTTTTGTTGAAGCCCTTGGGATTATAAATCCTGAGGAAAAGGAGCTTTGCTTCACTGGCAAGAAATCATTTGAGGGTGTGTATGAGGGGGTAGCAATGGTGGAGAGCAGTGCAGGAATGAGGAAGGAGGGATTGAAGATGGAGGAATTGTGGGGCGGGGGAACCAGGCTGTAGTGATGGATGCCATGCAGGGAAGTGGAACGCTTGGCCTTTCTGTGATTAAAGGGCTCCTGTTCTCTGAGCATAAACACACACTCTGTCTCACACATATACACACACCTGTCGTTTCTTATTTGTGCAGATGATGTGGTTACTAATCACTAAGCCAAAGATTTATCCAAAGTCAGCGAACCCTTTAAGTGATGTTAGATCTCTCTCTTTATTTAACCAGGTAAAAACCCATTGAGATCACGGTCTCTTTTACAAGGGTGACCTGGCCAAGAGGTCAACAACACATGTCGTCAATACATAAGTTTCAATACAAATCAAAACATTAAACATTTAACAACCAAAACCATAAATACAATAATCAACAATACAACCAATTTAAAAACACCTACACTGACCAATAGACTCCTGTTGCCTAAGAACCATAAGGGAATAAAAAGCTTTAACTGAGCATAATTCAGTAAGTTGAAAATCTGCTTGGAAACTATTCCACAAAGAGGAAGCGGCAAATCCAAAAGCCCGTTTCCCTTTTTCGGTCCGAACTCTAGGCACTATGAGCTGATACTTATCACAAGACCGTAAGGCATATTTGGTATCCGATCTACGTAAAAGAGAGCATAAGTATGCCGGAGCTAGGCCTGGAGCCAGGGGGGTCAGTAGTGTACTGCAGATCAGACTGGGGTATACAGTCAGCTTTTTTGGGGGGGGAACACTGCCCTATTTGTCACGGGTTTACCAAAACCCCCCTCTATCTAAAGAGGCCCTCGCTCGTTGTGCTAGGCACATTTCCATATTTACAGTCAGTCTACTGTTTGGACCTCTGCAGTTGCAAAGCATTCATTTAGTGGTGCTGCAGAGAAATGGCTTGGGCAAGTCACAGAAGTTTAATTCTCCTGAAAATCTGTTCAAATTGCAGGGTGATAACTTAAAACTGAAGAGGTGATAAAAGGCAGGGAAAAGTTCACCTCTAACCATCTGCTTTTGTCTCACTTTGCAGATGGAATATTGCTGTTAGAGACATAAATATATTTCAATGTCTTTAGGTTGTGAGACATTTAAATCCAGAACACTGGAATAATGGAACATCATGGTTACACGAACCACTACCTTCATAAGTCCAAAGAATCCATTAATACCAGCACAGAAGCCTTAACTCATGTCATCACACCCAGTTACTCTCTGTTCCATTAGTTTCAGCGACTCTGTGCCATTTAGCACTCTTTCATCGGTCATTGTAAGAAATCTAAGTGTGTTCCTTTGTACTTTTTTCATATTCCAAGCCATTAACCACTACGACACTTACTCCTGAAAGTCGCAACTTTTGTGGTTTTAAAAAGGTTAAATATCTATGTATTTACTTTACCATTGGAACAGTTGCCCTGATTGTTTTGCAGCATGGCGGTACACAATATTGCACATCACTGTTATTTACTAGACTCTTCTGGACTTTGGTGGTCCAAGTAGCACAACGTTAACTATGTGTTTCTGATATTAATCTCACCTCTCTCATCTTTTTAAGTTGTAAGAATATATATAATGCTTGCAGCCATTTCTTGACTCGAGACCTCAGTTCAGTCCTCTTGCCCATTTCAGCCTTGATGGGCTCAGGATGGGAAATAGTGCTGATTTAAAACCCCAGTAAAAACAGAGATATTACGTTGATGTCAATAATATGTCAATTTAAAGAAATCCATCATTATAATTTTAATGTGGCCTGATTCTGATTATAAATCAGAAACTTTGGTTCCTCAGAACAAATAAGCAGCTGTGTCTGGCTGGAGTTTGTGTGTTACACATTATGTTGCAGTGATAGAACATGAGGATTTTTTTGCCACTCTGGACATCTTTAAATACTTTGAGGATTTGGACTTGCATTGAGAGAGAAAGACTGGAAATAGGATTCATTTTGTATTAAGAAACATTTTGAGTTGGGTGTAGTACAAAGACTTAGAAATTTAATGTGGTCAGTGACGGCCTCAACTGACATGATTATATCAGTGTGTGTGCGATTACATACATCAGGTTGCATAACTTGTAAAACGTGTACATGGTGGTGACAGGAAAAAAAACAAAGAGCATCATTTGCAGTTCCTGGTCACACTTGTTACTGGGTTTGCTTTTAACACGCGGGTCATGTTCATGGCGATCTAGTCTCATGGCGTGTTGTGGCAGGTTAGACCTGTTCATGCTAGTCTGAACAAACTGATGTCTTAGCTGTCTTTATAATGTGTTTTTAAAAAGCAGCAAAGGACAAAAGAAACCAGTGTAGCAGGTTTAAGGTATGCAAAGAGTGTTGTCTGTTGGTGGTGATAGACAGAGGGAAGTCTTAAGAGAGAATCAGTGATAATAAACAGATGCAAGAGCCTTTCCTTGAAGTCAGTGTAGCAGCTTCTGTATGTTCACTGAGTGGAGTTGGCTCTCACAGAAATGATTACTTCCTTTTTTATACAGTGTATAGAGGTATCTATTGTATGGATTGACAGCTCCCACCCCTGACTTTGACCCTCTCTGACTGTTAGGATGAGGCTTGCTCAGAAACTTTAGCTGGGAATATCTCTGCTCTGCTGCCAGTGAGTCTGGCTCAGAGGACCACTCCACATTAAGATACGTCCTCAATCGAGCGTGCACGGTGACAAGAAAAGGAGTGAAGGATATAGGGAGATGATGTCGGGGCGGTGTTAGGGGTTTTGTCAACATGTTATTTGCTTTGAGATTTGTCATGTAAATGAATGTGTACTTGTGTTCAGCTTAGCTTCCTATGGTGGTGTGTAACTCGGTTGCTCTGGTGCATCACCTTCCTATTCGAGCTCATTATCTTCCTTACTTTAAGAGTGACTTCGTCCTCTTTGCCACCACTGGCTGTAGTAGTGAATAGGACGTGTGTTTATTCCTGAAAGTTACAGAAAGCTCATCTAGTCTGTTGTTCTCTTAAAAAAACACTGGGAGTATTTGAACATTTATATGAATAAACCTGGAAATGGGCACTCTTGAAGAGCTTGTTTGAGCAATGACATTGTTCTGCTTCTGTCACATTTTAGACAAACTTCCTGGACTTAGTTGCATGGAAAGCCCGTCTCAGACCCCCTTGTTGATATCTGGTTACGAGCTGGAGTCACACCAGCAATGTGGTGAAGTTGCAACAGCAGGGGCCTGTTCCTCTGAAGGGCCTAATTAATAATTAAGAAGCGGGGTGTATGTGAAGAAGCCTATTAAGATGCAGGGTCACACCAGTCTTTGTGGTAGCAGGGCCGTGTTATCAGGATCACATCTCCTTTGGCCAGGTAGAAGGCAAACTAGCAGGCTTAGTCTGGGGGAAGATTGACTGGGATGAAGAATATCACTTTCCTGAAGGAGTTTTGAAACTACGTCATCCTAAAGCCATTGCTTCTAAGCGTCTGTGCTGACTGGAGAGTTGTCAGCATCAGTAAGAGAAAAAGTGGAGTAATTAGACTATCATAAAATTTAATCTGCAACTATTTTGACAGTCTGCTAAGTTTTAAAGAATTTTTTAAAGCAGATTCACTCTGGTGTGGACCTTCTTCTGGCTGTAAACAGTCAAGGAAATGACCTTTAATAGCATCATCTGTAGTTTTGTGACCATGGTAACATGAGTGAACATCATGAGTGTGAGGTGTTTTCCTGATGGTTCAGAAAGTGACATGGAGTGAACATAGGCTGTATCTGTGTCCTGCTCCATGTACTTCCCTCCTACAAAAGTAAGCAACCACACAGTATGGCAGCACAAGACGGAACCTTTTTGTGGTCATGTCTCCAATGGATTCTGGGTAATCATATTTCCTGTAAGTATATATCATCTGGATGTGAGAATTCTGTCTGTGGAGACCTGTTTTATATTCAGGAGAAAAATGGATGCCTTTTGTGTGTTGATCCATAATTGATGATTGAAGCTCCTTCTAGAGCATTTCACTACTTTCTGTGGTTATGCAACAAGCGCCAAGTGTTTGTTATTTCAGCTCAGTAGAATGCTTTCTCTTTTAGACCTGGAGTTAATCTATCTCCCTCAGCCTGCTTCATCTTGATGGAATCTCCCTTAAACTGCACTTTAAAGGAAGTTATTCTCAGCCCCAGTCATAGATGCCAAGGAAATGGACAGAAGCTTTGCCTCACCCAAGCATCTGGCCTGGTCTTAACAGTTCAGGATAGGAAGGGCGACTGAGAGACTGTGACAGCAGAGGAAGGGTGAAGTGACTCCACTGGACAGATATAAAAGCCTGGGATGATTATTTTGACAGTTATGCAGTAACATTTACTCTTAATCCCTACAACGTTACCGTAAACAAGCTACCGATACCACTCATTGTAAACATTCATTCATTTTTTTCCACATAAAGGTGACACGCCATCTGTTGGACTTTTTAGATTGACATGTATTTAACTAAAGATCACTTGTCACACCTTGATTACAAACAGATGGTGTCCATATATTATGATAACTAAAAAGCACTTTTTGTATTTCTTCTTGGCTCAGGTGTTCACTCTAAAGAGTCTTCAGTTGTTCACCCAGATTTCCCTCCTCTTCTGCTGGAGGAAAGGCTTTCTGCTGTGCTTAAATAAAGTTAATCAGTGCAACAATTAAAATGGAAAATAAACGGTTTGCATCAGGAACACACTGTGAAAGCTGTGAAACAGGGCCCAGGAAACCTATTAAAACTAACTCTGTAATTTAAGTGTGGAATTAAGGCATCATTTTCTTTTTTGCTGCTGTCATGTATTTTGTCTGATTAAAAGGGCACGATTCCTGGCACAGTCACTGCATCCAATCATTTATCTTCCAAATCTAGTAGTGTTACTATATACTGAACTCTTTTAAACTGAAATTTCAGTCCTGGTGTCCCCAACAGGGAGAAGGGTTTTGCAGCAGATTTGAAAAGACAGTGATTTCTTCCAGGCTAGAATGATTCAATTCTTTCTGTCTTCACTGCTCTAGAACCTGTGGGGGTTTCATGCCTCGCAAACTTCAGAAGGTTGTTACATTATCATCTCAAGTTGCGAAGGATCATATATTCTGCAACCTTAGCTGGCTGTCAACACAGTTTCACTGAGCTGTTGCTACAGAGAGCCAGAGGGCTCCCAGCCAGACAAATTAAGATCCTGAATTAGAAGCCAGAAGGTAACCGAGTGGACAGATATATGTGCTGCTGAATGACTGCACAGCCCCGTTCTCTGCAGATTGGAAAGCTTCCTAACAACAGAGTAATGTTGTGTGATCCATTTGTCTTAAATAAGACAGATATATATTTATATATATATATGTATACAGGAAATAAGGCCAGACACGAGAGCCAGCTCCAACTGAGATTGTGTGTATTCACAAATGGTCGAGTCAATGTTCTGTGTAGGTTTTGGCTCGGGCTTCTTACAGCGATGTACCACAGGGTAATCTGAGCAGTGTTCCCCTCTGATAAACAGCCCCAAAGCCTCCCGTTCTTGTCGGCGTCCAACTGGCGAGCACTGCCAGCCTTTTCCTGCCCTCTTCCAACAGAGACCCAAGCAATGAGAGACATCCGATGTTATCAGCCCTGCAGATCACACAGAGCTACTGCCAGCGGCTTGTCTCTAAATGCATAGTGCAGCCCAGAGATTTTTTTTTTTTTTAACAGAAAGCCTCACATCACAAAGGCACAGAGCAAACTGGAGTTAAGTGTTGGAAAAAAGATACAGAAGTTAACATTTTTCTTAATTTCAGACAGTGCAGCATTTATCATTTGTCCTCGCTTTGTTAAAATTTATAAACAGATCTCTGTCCATAGAGAAATCAATGTAAACCTTTGTCTTAAATGATCAGTTATGGTGTGTCATAAACTGCTATGAGATTTCAGCCCTGTTGGAAGCTGCTAACAGCTGTCACTGACCTATTTATGAGGCCGATGGATGTAAGGTGAAAGTGGCTTTTATGTGGCCACCTTTTGTGTTTCTCAGGAAGGTCCTGATGATTTTCTGCTCACAGTTCAGTGATGATCTAACCGTCTTTGCAGCGCTTTGAATATAAGAAATATTCCTAGTCAAAGATCACAGTGATTAAAACATGGGCAGGTGAGGCAGTTGTAGTTATGATTGTTTTTCAGCATTGCATTCATGGCGTCAGCTGTGGTCTTGACCTGGTTATAGCCGGTTTGAACGAGCATTCAGAAGCACGGCTGCAGAAATCCCCTCCTCACATTTAGCTTCATTTATAAGTATAGCGGTTGAATGCAGATGAGAGAACATCTGATATCTTTTTTTTTTCTCTCTTTTGGCCTGACTACATGGTAGACAATTTTTTAGTTTTTTGTTGCTTATTGCCTAAAGCCAGAAGCAAATGTTTGACAGTTTTTGCCATATGTTTCTGTTGTGTTCAATCAGCAATAAAGAAAGCAAGCATGGAAATAGCATATTACAGCTTAATATTTACATTAATTAACCTGGTGGAGTTTTTTTTCCACAGTGCTATGAAGCAGTACATAGTTAACAGCAACGTTAAGGGCTTTAAGATTGTACTGAGGAACATTCCCTAGTGAGAAAGAACAGAACAGGAAAGTAAAAGCTGCAGCAACATGAAGTGAATAAGAGGTTGTGGTTTTGTGATTCTGAAAACAACTGAGGTGCCTCCCCGAAGTGTGAGACTGGACCCATTCACACGTTATTCTGATAAAAGAAACTTGAAATAAAGCCCACATTAGATTTAAGATGCTTTCACTTGCATTTAAGTACAGTTCATATTGCTGCATCTCCATGGCATACGTAAGTTTTATCATGAGTCCATATCACTGAAGTGCTTAATGGACAACTGTGCAGAAATACAAAATGGACAGTGTGTGTGAACTGTGTGACGTGATCCATTACCATTCCCATTTTTCTTCTTCTTCTTCTTCTTGTTATTACAAGGTCACCATCTTGTTTTCTGTTGCATGTCTGTATGTATTCAGACCCCCAACTGTAGTGTATAGAAACACACTGGTGTGTGTGTGTGTGTGCAAGTCAGCATCTCTCAAAAAAGGCATCAAATCCTCTGTAGGAATACTTCTGAATTGAATATTCTAAGTTCTAAAATGTGATGATTTGCAGCTTTTTCTCTTTTATATAATTGAAAAATGTAGTATTTTTGAATTTCCACTATTTGTTGGCCAAAAAAGAACTTTACTCTCAGAAGTGGTGACAAATGGCGTGATAAATTCAAACTTCTTACAGAAGTTTGAACCTTTTGTGGGAGTAAATGAGTAAACCTCTAACCTTTCTATTTCACAAGCTCAAACACACACACGCACAAGAGGGAGAGCTTCCTTCATTTGTTTAGCTGAAAAAGCTGATGGGGGGGAAAAAAAACAGAAGAGATGTGTTTGAAATTCGGTTTGTGTTCGTGCTTGTCATTGAGGAAGATGAATTGTAGGCAATCCAAATTTTTATATGTTGAGGGAACTATGAACCCTTTATCCACACAGACCCATCAGTCATAAACATCATGGTACTTGGCAGAGATGAGGTGGTTCTCTGGTGTTAAACTCAGCTTTAAATATGTCTGAAAGACCTTATTTTGTGTTTTTTTTATAGCCTGCATTGCTTTCATATCAGACATAATCTATATCATCTTACTGTGTACAACGTATTTGTCCTTTGAATGATAAGATTTTAGTTGGGAACAGTGCAGTATAACAGTTGTGTTATTTTCCATGTGTAGAAGATCTAAATGTATCTATTACTGACCAGAGAAGGTGAGGAGGTTTCCCTGCATGCTAAGCCTGGCCCAGTATACCACAGGCCTTTTTTCCTATGATTATAAATAGAATATTTAGCCATATTACCTTGAGCTAATGGATGTTTTGTCACTGTTTTCAAGAGTTTTCTTATTACTTACATAGTTAACAATTAATTGATTAAAACAAAAGCCTAATCAACATATTAATCAGTAGTGGAAAATGATCTTTAGTTGCACCCATGCTTCAGTGTACTGAATTATGGTACTCACTCTCCAGTTATCTGTGCTTTATTGTACTTGTGTACATGTGGGATTGGGTTGGGAAAGTAAACTCCCTCATTTTCTTTGATGAGCAGACAAACCAGCTAACCACGCATCTCTCTTTCTGTCTTCTCCACAGCATGATGCATCAGGTCGGACTCAGTCCCCCGATGATGATGGGTTTGAGAAGGAAATCACACCGGTGAGGCAAACAAGCCACTGCAGCTACACCGACTGACACAGCCATGCCCCGCCTGCCCTCCTGAATCTCCTCCCTGATCTTTGCACCCTCCCTTGGTCAAATCAGAGTCACAACAGCCCAAACAACACCTTGTCAAGTCAGCATGGCTACACCGTTTTTGTGGAAGCTGTCATCCCAGAAACTGGGCTTCTTCCTGGTTAGCTTTGGTTTCATCTGGGGTATGATGCTGCTGCATTTCACCATCCAGCAGCGAGCCAGCCATGAGAACAGCGCTGTACTGCGCCAGCAGATCCTGGACCTCAGCAAGCGCTACATCAAAGCTCTGGCTGAGGAGAACCAGAGTGTCATGGATGGACCCTATGTGGGCACCATGACAGCTTATGGTGAGTAGCCAGCTCTCTAACTGTAGTTCCTGTAATCTAACTGGTGTTATGCTTTTAGGGAGCATGACTCATCCTTTTGTCCTAACTTCTGGATGGTTTGTGACAACATATACTTTACAGCAAGGCCAAGGTGCATTCTCAGATCAGTCATACACACTTATACATGTGATATGCAGAGCTTTCTGGCATAACCAGTCTTCTACATCCACTATGGAAAACTTTAGGGTTCATTGCTCAATGACTGACATCGCTGAGAGGAAAAGAAAGTACTTTTTACCTTCATACCGGTTTTTCCAGTCTGTCCTGGGCAAGTGATGAGCTTATATTGTTTAGTTTATGGGCTCCCTGGAGATGTCTTTTTGTTCCTTGTGTGCATTGTGTTAAGCACTTTGAATTGCCTTTGTGTAAGAAAATGGGCTATAGAAATGATCTTGCCTTGCATTTGAGTGTCACCTGTAGAGGTTCGTCAACATGCCTCATTCTACATAAGGGGTGGTTGACATATCTGAAAGGATCTAGATTCTGCTGAAAGTGGAATGTGCAGCTTTTTTCTAAGTTGTCTGACAGGAAAATTAGCAGGATTAGCCTGCAAGAAGGATGGCATCTTAGCATAGAAGTGTTAATGTGTTAATTGATGTTGAATTAATCATAATTTCTTAATATTAAGACCACTACCAGGCTACAATCCAACCAAAGAGGCACCCTTTAGCAGAGTTATGATATTGGGCTGTTCTTTGCACTGTTCTCTTTACACCTTCTTTAAATTAGATCAAATGGTTTCATTAATCTACTGCCTATGTTGAAGAAAAGAGGTTTAAAGCTGATACAGCTGCATCAGTGTATAATGCTTTAATAGCACAGGTCCAGAAGACCCATCAATAAGTTATTCATGCCATTAATAGAGCTGTATGGCTTCATTAGAAACCTGAGATTGAAATTGATTGTTCTCTAATGCCCAGAGAAACACCAGGATACAGTAAAGCTCCTGGAGATTAAATCGGCTCCCAGAGAACATAAAGAAGAAGATGGAGGGTGCAGAGAAAGCGGGCAGTACTTGTAAAGTGTTTTAAACTGAAATTAACTCATCGTTCATTCATAGGAGCATTAAACGTTTAGATTTATCCTAATTACATTAATCCAGTTCCTATTCTATTCTATTCTATTTTTGTTCTATTTTAGTTCCAAAATGTATGGCACCCAATACTAGGTGAGAGAGAAACGGTATTTTGATTTTCTGTATGTCCTGCACATGTGGTGAATTGACAATAAAATCCTTGAACCTTGAACCTAAACTGCTCTTGTTTAGATGTATGACATGTGGAAAATGTCAACCCACAATATAAAGTACCACCATGCCCAGACTACCAACAAGAGACTGAACATTTTCTATTTACCTTAACGCTGTTGTCTGAAAAGCAAACCTCAACAGATGACTTAATTGGAAACGTGTAATACACTATGACCTGGTATCAATAAGGTATAAATAAATAGGGTTATTTAGGAAGGGCATTTCTGTAGGATTTATCCTCCTGTAACCTCTGCTATTGATTTTGGAAAATGAGCATATACTGTCTTATAATATCAGCCAGAGTTTGCAGACGGTAGTGTCCTGTCCGGGTTGTTTAGTTCTCTTCTATGAAAGATTGATTTTCACAGTGCTGTTGGAGCTGCAGGACAGTCTGCTGACCGCTGTCCAGTATCAAATCAAAATTCATTTTGTGTTGTTGATTAGATAGGAAGGCAGCAGGATATTGTGCTTCCTGTGTTCACTCACATGGTCGTTGATTTGCCTTGATGTGATTTGTAATGGGTTCAAGAAGAAACAGGGTTTCTTCTCTCAGGATTGGAGTTCTGGGATGATCTACAGCATGACTGAGAGAGGTTTCTGATGCTTTTATCTTAATATTTTAGTTTTTTTCTTCTTCTGTCTCATGGTCTTGATGCTTGGCCACCTCCACAGAGAAGTCAGATAGTGGTGGATCCTTTACCTACAGAGTACTCAGATCCTTTGCTAGAGTAAAAGTGCCAATACCACAGTGTAAAACTTCTCTGTTACAAGTAAAGGTCCTACATTCAAAATGTTACTTACGTAAAAATACAAAACTATTAGCATCAAACCATACTTAAAGTACTAAAAGTAAAAGTACTCATTATCCAGAATGGAACATTTCACATTCCTCTATCTCATATTATTGTGCTGTAATTACTGATGCATGGTTGTGTATATCACATTTAATGTTGCAGCTGGTAAAGGGGAGCTAGTTTTAACTAGCTTATATGCATTTAATTTGAATTACTGCTGGGTAATTTTCCACCATAGATCAGTGAGATCTTATAATTATGCAACATTTTTTGTATTAATCTGGTTCTCAAAAGTAACTAGTAATTAAAGTTATAAAATAAGTTTAGTGGAGTAAAACATAGTATATTTGCCTTTAAATTATAGTGAATTCAAAGTATTGATTAACAGAAAATGAAAATACTCAAGTAAAGTAAAGTAGAGGTACCTCAAATTTGTACTTGAGTAAATGTACTTAGTTACTTTTCACCTCTGATGTCAGACTTGACAAGATATGATCTTTGGCTTTGCATTGCTCCTGAAACTGATCTGTGCATCTGGGTGTGACAAGCCACTTGACACTGTGCCCCGCTTCCACACAGTTCAGCAGCTATTGTGGATTTTCTCTACAGCGTGGACACACACACCACACTTGTACTCTCTGCCTCGGCTGGCTCTGTATCGCTGAGGAGTGGGTGTGTGGTATGAGCTTATATAGCAGGTGTAATCCTCAGGTTACTGTGTGTGCCTTCTGCTTCTGTCTCCTCTTTATTATGCTGCTCTTTGACATGAAGACTACTGAATAGCCGGGTGGAGACTTGTCTTACAAATGACAAGGCCCTGGCCCTATTGTTTATCATGTTGCACTTGAATAAGTACTGATGGGTTAATGAAAAAGCCTATGTCATTGTGCATCCATATTGTCTTACAGTACATGACACTCTTGTTAAAAGCAAAGTGAAGCTTACCGCTGCATGATCTGTTTAGCATCACCTTGGTGAAAAACATTGAGACAAGCACAAGTTTGTCCCTGGGTGTGCTATTACTCATCTGGCTACCTCGCAGCACTGTTAGTGAACAGGAGGGCGTAGCATTATTCACAGCAACTGGGATGCTTTTCTAACACAGGCTAATGAAGGTCTCAGACTCGAACCCTCACATTTAATTACTGTAAAACCTGTAGACATCCCACACAGAAGAGTTTAATTCCACCGACATAAACAGAGTTTGATGATCTCAGTGCTCACTGTATTTTAAGAATTGACACAGTTTTAGAATTGGGCCAAAATGTACAGTCTCGCTGATGTTATCTTATGACAAACCAGTTTGGCAGCAATAAATATGAGTTTAAATCTTATTATACAAAAGGAGATATACCTTCAGAAAGCTGCAAAGACATCAGAACCATTGGTAAGTTACTGAAGGGCTTGCCATGGATGCTGGTTATGTACCTGTATGCCTCACGTCCTCGCAGGTCATCTTCCAAAACATCCAAAACTGACAGGCCAAGAAGGCTTCTGGTCATTTGGACCGTACATGAACTGGCATGGACTTTGAATTACAGCAGTACTTGGGCTGTGATTGATGACTGTTCCACAAGAACCCTGATTGAGAAAGACCTCTTATTTTGATGGGAAAAACAAGTTGTGCTTTAAGCAGATTGAAATTTAGGCTAAGTAATGCTATCGTCTTTTAAATCAGGTAAAAAGTGTAATCAGTATTAAAAAATAGGAAAATACAAGAATACATTGGATCTTTTCTGTTTCCATGCGATTGGTTAATTTTGTGCCACTAAAATGATAGTGCTGCCTTTCTGACAGATTTTCACACAATATGTATTCTCTTTTACATTTTTAGTTGTACCTAGACTGCTGCTGTGATTTTAAATGAGAAAGAACTGAAGCCACTACACAAAAGAAGTTCCCATATCTTTCTCTTTCTTGCTGTAAAGCAGGCTGACCTAAGCTCTGAGCCTGAACCTGGTGATTCTCTCTCTGTGTATAACCTGAGGTCATGTGCACAGGCCTGCACTCCTTAGGTGAACGTTAGGGGCATTAACTCTGGACTCAACCCTTTTTTTCAGTTATGTCCAGCCCAGTAGCTTGGCAGGGCCTCTGCTCCAAGGCTTCTCATTCGGTTTCTTCCTGGTTTCACTGCATCAGTCTGTGCATCTGCCCCTGCCAGTGAACGCAGCTCATCCAGACCAGACAAATGCTCTGCCATCCCTCTTCATACGAATCAGGCTTTTGCACTCTGCCAGCTCTTGTTGTGCCCTTGCCAGTCTCTCTGACATGATGTAAACTGGCGTGTCGAATGCATTGCGCTGAGGGAAAATGTGGTGCTTGTATGTGATAGACAAGCTGCAATTATCATCTGAGGAGAGCGAGTATGATGCACCCCAGAGAGGCCAATACATAAATAATATATGTTGGGTGTGTGATGGAGCATGTTGCCTATGACAGGGGGACACGTTGTTGGTCACGTTGATAATATTTATACTGTATGTGCCATTTACAGCAGCCTGAAACAAGTTAACATTTCTCTGTAAATGTCATTACTACAGATTACTGAACCAGACAAATAACAGTAAATAAGGCCAAAAAAGTCTCAATGACTGCGCCGGTCAGCATTCCTCCTGTCCGTTGTATCATTAGCTGTGTCCTTTGCAGATAAATGCTCATGGAAAAAAGACACCCACAGAAATGCATGGTCACTTATAAAGATCCTGAGACTCTGGTTTGACATTTAAATAAGCCTCAAGCTGGCTGCTTTAAATCCAGCAGTGTGTTGTAGAGTGAAGTGTCCCTGGTTGTACATGTTCATACAGAGTTGAAAGAATTGGACGACTCCTCTTAAACACTAAGCATTTTAGACTGGAAACCAATTAGACCAAGTCCATTTGTCTACTGTAGCTTAGTGGCAACCTGACTTTGGAGACATAAAGAATATCTCACACTTACCTCAGTAATCTGATTCACATTCTTACTTACAGACTTGAAGAAGACCCTTGCAGTGCTGCTGGATAACATCATGCTGAGGCTGGGCAAGCTAGAGTCCAAGGTGGAGAACATCTACAATGGTTCTGGTGGGAACTTGACCAACGGCACTGGCACTGCAACGCCCAGCGCCACAAACCCGGAGAAAGTTAACGTGGCAGGTATGTCTTGCATTTTGTTAGGTCTGTGTTTGTTTGAGAAGAGTTGAAGTTAAAAAGTTTTTTGTATATGTGGCTGTGAAGTTAAAAGGGAACCAAGTGCTGTCTCTCCAGGCTCATCCTGTCAGAATAAGTTTGTTGCCAGAAGTCATTATTTGTAAGGGCTGTATGTATGGGTAGGTTTTATAAAAAATGTGCACAGTAAGCATATTGTACAGTAGCCGAGACCAGTTAAAGAAATGAAAATAAGCTGATTGTGGCTATTTTCTTTGCTGTATTTCAAATATCCCCATGTTGAATAACTTTCCCGAGGCATACAACCAGCTAAACAGCCAATATTGCACAGTGTACTTCAGGCACTTTATAGGACTAGACCACAACCTTGAACATAATTCAAATAAGGCCTCCCGTTCATGCTGCATCACCCTTTTATTAGTTTTCATTGATTTTCCTGCCAGCTTTCAGATGATGAATTCGGCCCGGGTGAGGGAACGAGGTGTTGATTTTTCTGGGATCTTGGGACCTGCTCTGTGTTGTTTGTAGAGCATTAAACAGTAGGATTGTGGAATCTGTGCTCTGACGCAGTATATGCAGAAATGGATTAGAACAGTGTACAGTGTCACATTTGGATAACTCTAGTCCAAACAACTACTGCTGTGCTGCTGTCTTTTAACAAATGTTGACACACTCTTTAGAACCTGTAGGTTTCTGTTTGAAAACATTGAGTTGCATAGCAATATTTTAGTCAAATTAATGGACATGAGCAGTATATGAAAGTGACTGGTCATTATCAAGACAATTAACTTCATAATGCAGCCCCCTGACTTTCAGGATGACTCACAATAGAAGCGTGGCTTCCTTGCTTCTGTGTCCTTTCTTTCTAATGCCAAACCACAAATGCTGCATCCTCTACCAGTGTTTGTACCTCCTAAGACAGTGTCTGTCATGTTTCACATGGTTGATGCAAAAGCAATCATTCAATGTGGGTTACTTTATCATCAGGTTCTTTTTGAATGATGTTGCAACCCTAAATGTCAGTAATTTGTAAAGGAAGGCTACATACATAAGGAGGAAATGTCAGTAGAAAATGTTGTCATTAAGTAGATATATAAAATCTTTAAAACCTGACAGTAATTCTGGCTGCCTGGTGTCCCCAGCCAGGTTGTACAGGACCTGGCTCTCTGCGACAGCACATCTCTGCTCTCAGTCTGCACATTGTGGAGACTAGGGGTGAGACATTAATGTCATATACTGTTGTTGAGGCACTCTTGGATCTTGTGTTCTACAGCATACTGTAAGTACCTGGCTCTGTGACACATGTCAGTCAACCTGTTCCCTTTAAACATCCACCTGTACTCTAGACAACACTTGGATACTGAATGCAGGTCAAACCAGGAAAGTGACACCCACATCTCTCTTGGCAATGAATTTAAGGCCCCAGCACTTAAGAGTCCTTATTGGAGCATGTCTCCTGTCTTGGAGTGGGCAGCAGGCATTGTTGTTGCCAGATCCACTGGTGCTCCTCCCTGACTGGAAGGCAATTACAGGGATAAGAATCTGGATAGTGAGGAGAACATGCCTGCCTTTCAAAGATGCTGCTATCAAGATGCAGATGAGCAGCCACCCTGGGACTGTAGTGTTCACATCTGGGTCAGATACGTTTTCTTAGCCTAAGACATGGGTGTGTCTGAGACCAAACCGGGATCTTTTTAGCATTCACACTTGTTTCCTGACTTTTACTCTGCTAGCTTGGAGTCAAGGATACTGCATAAGTCAAGCTTCTATTCAATTTTATAGATACCTGAAAAAAGAAAATGCAAATGTATGCATTTCTGTTAACTACTGTTGTCAATATTAGGAGTTGGGTGCATTGAGATAAACAGGTGGTGCCTCTAATTCCCAAGTTGTGGATCATTAAACAATTACTGAAGAGGGTGCTACATGATAATGTAATAAGGAGCACCAGTCGAATCTCAGAGAAACAACATGGAAAATATGATAGAAATGTATGCTTGTTTTATGTATTAATTGGATGACAGTTACAGTCTTGATTCAGTCATGATGCAAGTTTAGTGCAAGTTCACGATGTGTGATCAATGTAATAACAATGTAACAAAGTCCATTCTCTCATTAGCTGCTGTTGTATACCAGCTGCTGTGCATACGCTGTAGAACACATCACTTTCTTGTGATTGGTCAGCTCACAAAAATGTGGCCCACACTCATTGTTTTATGGTCCCACTCTTTTGGTTTGAAGAATGAGAGAAGTGTCAACGTGCCACACTTTGATTTGTTGCAGAGCTGGTTCTGTCTTCAGCCTTGTGTGCTGTTGCATTTCCCCAAGCTGATCAGGCACAGAAGCCCCTTATACTGTAGGATGAAAACAGGTCGATCTGGGCTTGGATGCTGCTTAGCAGGAGGCAGATGGGAGTGAGTTCAACAGCACTCTGTGACGCCTTGTCTTGCCATGTCTCACTGATGTGGCTAATCAACCTCCCCAGCGGTGTTTCATTTGTGGGCCGGCTTGTAGCATGGAAATGCAATCTCCTTCTACACACACAAACGCCCAGGCAGATAGAGACTGATGTAATGAATGGTCAGGTGCAGCCATCTAACAGGCCCCTGCTTCACTCTCTTCATCTCACTTCTTTTCTAAGATATATTTCTCCACTCCATGAGAGTGTTTAAAGTTCTCAGTGTTCCTTCCATCTAAGCCACACTGCCAGTAACATCTGACTGATTTGCAGCATCCTGTCTCATCCTGCCTTTTTCCTGTAAACAGATGACCATATGTTCACAGCTCAGGGCATCTTTGGACTTCATCTCTTTTAGATATTGATTTGCTTGCATCTCTGTTTGCCATTCTCAGTGAAAAATTAGATCCGAGGCCTCAGTGTCAGCAAAGGAAAGGGACAAGGACAGGGTGTCTGCTGGGTTTTCAGGAGCCCTGTGTACTTTATGAACTCTTTGGCCTCTACACTTTATTTTCACTTTAGATCTCAGGCCTGTGTCTTATCTATCCAGAGAAGCATAGAGGGAGGTGAATTCTTTATCTGAAAAATCTAATCTATGAGCAATTGCTGAATAATAATTTTAATACAGAAAACATCTAATGGGCCTTTCTTGGCTTTAGAGTCTGCGGTCTCCATTATGTTCTGGAAGGCCTGTTTACTTCCTCAGCATACAGATCAATACTAATAAAGTACACACAAACTCACTCAGTGCTAATAAGTTGTTGAAAGATGCTGTCTGCTCCCACACACTTTTTCAAACCCTATCTTAAGTCATCGCATTCATCACCCGACAGTCTATTGTAAATTACACAGCAGTATAATTGAGACAAGAATTCGAGTCATTAGTTTTGGAGCTGTCGTGATTTACAGTGCACATTGTAGCATTAGTTTCACCTTATTGTTACGGCACTGTGGGTTGCAGCAACCAACTCTTGCAAGTAGACACAGTGAATGATAGAAAAAAGTTAATTAAGAGGAATTGTTTATATCCAGGGTTGTGTTCTGAGAAATTAAAGCTATAATCTATAAGATTTTGGTGACAAATACAAAGCGTTTCCTGTGGCACTTTCACAATAAAAGCCACCTTGTGAACACTTTTTTAATTAAAAGCAGCAGCAGTAGACGATGTTGGCTTTGCATTAGATGTAATTTATAAAAAGAATTAACAGTTAACACTGGGGCTAATTGCACCCGATTATATGTATTGATCCATCTTATGTAGTTGTTGAATGAAGCTAATTTTAATAACTTGCAGAAAATCATTGACCACAAACAGAGTCAGAGTCATATAAGTATAAAAATGCTTTATTTTTATATAGTGAAACCAAAGTTGAGGATCACACTTAGTGGCAACAAATAACTTTGTTAAGACAGAATAATTATGGCCGTCACAGTCTCACAGTACAGCTGCTTCTTTAAACATTACACACAGGTGAAGCCTCTTGAGTTAATTAGCCTGCAGCTGGTTTAGTAATCATGGATGAAACTAGCTGGGTCTTCTTGCAGAGAATAAAGTGATATTCTTGCCATTGAGTGCGATCCTCATTTTGTTTGGTAATACTACTGGGATAATGTACCAATTTTTCCTGAGGGTGTTGGAATCCATAAATAAAGGTTTGAAACCAAAAAAGAGCAATAAAAATGGAAATTAAAAACCCTTACTGTAATGTATGCCAAGGTGCAACAGCACCTGTTACTAGAACTATTGATCTTTTGTAAAAGACCTTTTAAAATAAATACATCAAATACATCATAGCTATAGTTCTTTTTTTATCGCCAGGCTGATGGAAGAACACATTTCTAATGAAAGCTGTCTTCCGCAGTGGCATATGTCTTGTCTTACAGTTCAATTTTTAAAGAGCTTTGGTGCTTTAGGTTCAGAGGTTGTAGTCTGTCACTGGCTTTTGATTGATATTATTTTAAAAAGTTGTAATTTTGAAAGGTTTCTGTTTCATTGATTATTGGACTGAACTCTGCATTTCATCTTTGGTGTCTGAAATACCAGCGCTGCTACGTCAACAAAGGGCATCAGGCCACACACACACACACACACACACACACACACACACACACACACACACACACACACACACACACTCTCTCTCTCTCCTTCTCTCTCTCTCATATACACACACAGACAACCATCATCCTGAAGGGCCATAGAAAGAAAAAGAGAGAAATGGCTCCTGTCATTTTTCCTCTTTTAACTGACACGTGCACCCCACTTTTTCCCTGACTCTGTTTGTCTTTGTGCCCCTCTCAGCTTCTGCTTTTCTTCCCTTCTCATTTCAATCCCATGACTGTTGTGCACTGAGTTAATTGATTGTGAAATTTCAGAGATATTGTGCAATACTTGGATATGTTCTGGACATGGGAAGTAAAGTTTTTACATGAGGGTTTAAGTCTAAACCTCAGCATTTAAATGCACAGGATAGCCAAAGCAAATGGGGGGGAAAATGTATATTATTCTGTTTCTCATGCACTCTTCTCA